TTTGGAAAACACTACTGAGGCTGCCTTGCTTCCCTTCAGAAAATATGCATTTTAACCAACTTACATGACATTCTATGTTATGTTGACTTTATCATATGAAAGTTTATAGTGCATTTCATCAATCAATAAATAAATGTGAAAATCGTAATTTTTAACACAAATAATAGTCTTGCTACCTTAAATACAATATTCAACCCTTGGTTATTAACAATAACATCCATATTTCTGGTATAAAGTATTTTACATTCAGAATGGTGGTTTATAGATGTCTCCTATAAACAATGAAACTTGTTGGACTTATTGAATGAAAACAAGCAGCCTCTCGGCTGAGATAGCACCGCTGTTAGCAATGCACATTTCAATTAAAGAATTGAAGAAATCATCACAAAATGAACAAATCTGAGAGAGGTCTACATGCAGTACCTATATATGTAATATTAAAGCAATTGGCCTTGTGGTTTTTAACAAGAAGTCGTAAATATTGACAAAAATATCACTTTTTACCAAAATTACAAAAATATTCATCAAAATTAGAGAATTGAAGATATCATCATGAAATGAACAAATCTGAGAGAAGTCTACCAGTAGTACAGTTGTAGCTATATATAATATCAAAGCAATCAGGTTTACAGTTTTAAACAAGAACTCAAAAATGACAAAAATATTCACCAAAATCAGAGAATTGAAGATATCATCATGAAATGAACAAATCTGAAAGAGGTGTGTATATTGTTTGAGGGCGTAATTAGGTAATTATTATGGATGTATAGCTATATAAACCAAAAACTAATTAGATAGTCACATTGTATATACCAAGTGTATGTCACAGACCATCTATGAAGTTTCTTTTTTTTTTGTGCCAGGCGACAGTGTCGGACATTGAATGTCACTGTTGTCTCTCCTGACTTGTTTTTTTGTATGTGCAAATTGCAAGTGCTGGTGCTGACACATAGTGCATTTTTGCATGTTTGGGACTACATGATAGGGCTGTGCGGCCATCTTCCTATCAAAGTTGAATACGCTATCCTGGCATCAACCAGGCTTGGTCAAACACAAGTACCTGCGGATCATGAGTCTGATGCGACAACCACTAAGCTACAAGTGACCGGCATGTATGAAGTTTCATTGAAATGTGATTAGAACCAATGAATTATTATGCAAATTAGGTAATTAATATGCACAGATTTTAACCCAAAACTAATCAGGTCTGTGCATTGTCCTAGAGTATCTATGTACCAGCAATGATTAGTACTTGAAATATCAAAACCTAAAAATGTATTAATTATACAAATTAGGTAATTAATATGCATGAATATTAATTAATCAGGTCTGTGCATTGACCTATGACATCTATGTACTAAGTTTCATTGAACTGTGTTGATTAGTACTTGAGATATAAGGAAAAAAGCTAAAAATTGACAAATCATTATGCAAATTAGGTAATTAATATGTATATATTTTCCCCTAAAACTTATCAAATTTGTACCGAGTCTCATCAAAATCCAATGAGTGGCTCTTTAGATATCAGTGGAAAAGTCATGGAACAGCTAAAAATTAGCTAATCATCATTCAAATTAAATAATTAATATGAGCGGATTTCAACCAAAACCTAAGCAATTCCGTGCATTAGCCCAGAGCATCTATGCACAAAGTTTCATTAAAAACCAACATACGGTTCTTGAGATATCAGTGGTTAACATGAAGACAAACTTTGATCAATACTGATGTCTTCGAAATTTTTTGGTTTACACAAACGAGTTACTATCGCAAGTGGATATACCGGTAGTCACGGATGAGAGAGGGCGCTTTACTTACCATAGTTGAAAGGTTCTTCAGTATGTTTGTCAGTCCATTGATAACCAATGAAAATTTGGATTTACTAACATTGATAAGACATGCCTTGTTCTGCTCCAGATTTAGCTGTGTATGAGTGGAGTGGATACCACTCCGAATTGGCAGCTGAAAAACAAGTGAGAATTGTTAATCTGAAAAACATTTGAAAACATTCAAACCTACCCCCAAATATTTTGCACATTTTGTTATATTTTATAATTTCTTTGTTAATTTGGCCCTTTAGTGTCAAGTTTGGATAAAAATTTTGAAAAAAAAATAAAATAAACTGTGGTTTGATTTGGTGATGTAAATGAGTTCTTTTAATGAATGAATGAAAGGTATGTAAATGATATGCAAATTATTATGCAAATGAATATGCAAATTAGTTACAGCGCTATGCATTTTTTCTGGGGAGAATCCTACAATTCATGTATGCATATATACTACTACATTTGTAACAGAGCAAATGGCATATTCTCTGTACATATAAGATCATCACAACACAGCCATTGTCTGTATAGATAAGACATGTTGTACCAGATCATCACAACACAGCCATTCTCTGTATAGATAAGACCTGTTGTACCAGATCATCACAACACAGCCATTCTCTGCAGATAAGACCTGTTGTACCAGATCATCACAACACAGCCATTCTCTGTATAGATAAGACCTGTCGTACCAGATCATCACAACACAGCCATTCTCTGTATAGATAAGA